TGGCTTAGGGAAGTTTAGGGTTTAGTAACCCTAAACCCTAAAAGTTTAGGGTTTAGGGTTTAGGGTTTAGGGTTCCGGTCTTTAGGGCTCAGGGAGGTTCAGGGTTTGGGGTTTGGCCGAATAAGGAATCCAAGGAATCCTAGCTTAATGTTTTTTGCCCTGGGTTCTGCATCACGCATTACACCCTAAATTCTATGCATTCTGGGTACACCTTTTGCTTAAGATCCGTGCAGGGTCCTTTCTCTTCCTGCTGCTGATGCTAAAACTTGTGCATGATTTTAGCTTACTGTAGCACAATCATCTGAAAGGTTTAGCCTACTTATGCTCATGCAGGATTTCCATCATCCACCAATATCCGCCAAAATTTCAGAATAAATCTTAGAAGGCCTCCCTAAAGGTCACACTTACTTCATAAAACTAACACTTCTGGAAAGCGTCCTGCAGCGAGCTTTGCTTCTCCACAGAGCTATTGGCCCATCCTTGGCGAAAGAGGGGCGCTTAGAGCTCAGCATTCAGGATTTAGGGTTCAGACTGCGGGGGCTTGGGTTTATTTAGGAGTTTCAATGCAAAATCAGCAAAACATGCACCCGTAAGCTCGCAGCAGAACCAAAGGCCTACACAGGCATTCAGAAGGTTTTGTTATGGTCTTTCTGCGCCAAGCTTCGCGTGGAAAAGCTGTTGGTGCCTGCCGGATGCCTGCGGGATGGACAATTTGTCCGTAACATCACCACCACTGGGCTAGTTCCCAAAATAAGGGTCCAATTTCGGTATCCCTAAGTAAAAGGTGCCGTCATATAATCTATAATCAAAAGCGGCCCATAATTTTGAGAAGAAACCACTGTTCCGAGCAGCTAACAGCTAATAGAAAGTCAGCGACCTGCAGAACCTTGCATATGTTTGGCCAAACGGTATCCAGCAAACGTCTACCCTGCATACGGGAATCAATGAACCCCAGGCAACGCTTCTACAAAATAATGGAAATCCAGATAACCCAAAAAACTCTGGTCCGCATTTTCGTCAATAAAGGAAAGAACCGACAGTGTCATCTGAACCCTGAACCATCCCATGTTGTCCGCACTGGATGTTCAGCGAAACCTTTGAGGAGAGCGGGTTCCGGCGAGTGACTTTACGGGCTCGCATGGTTTTTATAGTTTTGGGCTTGGATAGTCAAGGTGCTTGGGTACATGTGAAAAGCCAAAAATCAACCCTCATCTGAGCAGGGATTCTGCGGTTGAGCCAAGTAAGATCATATTCCTCTTACAAAAATGCCGGAACCAGAAGGAGGATGTAACCTCATGGAAATCACAAGAGCGCAGGAAATTCTGAAAGTAAAAGCCTCAAGCTTATAGGCCCTCTTAAGTAGAAAGAACATGGCTTTGGGTATATCATAATAAGATCCCCGTATACCCCATATTCTATCTACTTAAGGGACACTATAACCCCTAAACCCTAAACCCAAAAGAGTAGTTTCCATTTTCTTGTCCATTATCCCTATATAACCCCTATAACCCCTATATCTATTCAAGGGGGATTATAGTCCTTAACCTGCTGAGGTGCAGCGCTGGAAGGATCTTGGGGTCCGTCTGCGCTGGCGGACCATTTGAGGGCGCTACCCTCATTGTGCAATACTCATTAACAAATGACTACACGTGAAAGTGTGGATACAGCTTGTCTCCGCCAGCAGGGTAACATGCTGATACAGCCATCCAAGAAAAATAGGTGCGAATAGTTTGGAGTCACCCCTGCTCCGATGATTCAAGCGCAGTTGATTGTTGTATAGACTCTAGGTGTATGATGACATGGAAGTCATGGCGGTATATGCAGCCTGTCTACTTGAATCAAACGCCAGGTTGACATGGAAACGTATGTTCGCACTGGTCTTCATGGCCACATGGTCCATGCCTGCGCATCCAAGGTCCAAGGTGACACTTTGCAGCTCTAAGGCCTCATCCCAGTCTTCATCCAACTCCTCCTCCTCATCCTCCTCCTCTTCTTCACCCTCTTCCTGCTCGTCTTCGTCTTGCTCCTGGGCAAGAATGCTGCAGGAATGACCGCCAAACCGTAATCAATCACAAGCTGCTGTTCCTCCACAGCTGCCGCAGCTGGGTTCTCCACCCCCTCGGGTTCTTTTGTCTCCGCTTGCCTTGGTATGCGTGACGCTACAGCGGTGCGGTTTAGGGTTTAGCCTCGAGGCATCCTCAGGATGGATGAGGGGTTTCAAGGACAGCGTGGAAGACACTTCAGAAGAAGAGTCCACTTTCGATCTCTTTTATGGGTCCAAATAGCTGGGTCGCTGTTCCCCCCAGATTGCCAGAAGCATCCTGCTACTACAGTGTGGAAACAGGGTATAATCGGGCTCAACCTTCCAAAAAGGCAAGAGGATCCCTTACAGCAAACAAGTTAACAAGGTCCCAAGAATTTAGGGGCTCATGTCGGGGTCGAACTCTTGGGGTGCCCTCGCTTTGGAACAAAGAATTTAGACGACACTCAAAAAGCAATGCGGCAGTCAGGCAGAATCCGGGGACTTCAGGCAGTGCAGTCATGCTGCGCACCAGGTTCCAGCTCCAGCTCTTTGGGAGCCTCTGCCAGCTCCTCTGGCAGCGCATCGCAGACTTGCACAGGAGCCTCGTGAACGACCGCTTCCTGACCCTGCGCGCTTGATGCTTCAGCAGTTGGATGCTCGGATTCATTTTGGTCAGCTTGAACCGCAGATGGCTCGATCTCGTCGGGAGTCTGCTCCACGCTCGGCGGGTCATGTTGTCTCTCCAGTGTGGGCTCTGGCTCGACTGACGGCTCTTCAACCAAGACCTGAGCATTATCCTCCACTGCATCAACAGGATCGCCTGCAGTATCTCTTACATCTTCAGCAGTAAGGACGGGGTCATCGGCGCTTGCAGCAACATCTCCGGCAGATTCAGCGGCTTCTGCCTCGCTTGAGGCGTTTATGGCATCCGTTTCGGCTGGAGCCTCAGCTGTGATTGGCACCTCTGCAGCGAGGGGAATGTCTGGTGAAGTCTCATCCGCGTCGGCAGGGGCCTCCGCGACCTCCGGAATAATTTCCGGAACCAGGTCTGTCTCCACTCGGTCTACCCCACTCAAGTCTGTCTCAACACAAACCTCTTCCACCTCCGCTGCTGCCTCAACTTCTACCACCGCTTCACCAGTTTCGTGCCGATGTTCATCTTCTTCTTTCGCGGGGACTTTTGCAGCTTGAGCAGCTTGCTCCTTGCCCTCTTGCGCAACAGTGTCACTGGTCTCCGGCTCCTGTCTTGCAGTCTCGAGGTCTGCGACGCCGTTTGTAATCTGCTCTGCAGCTTGCTCTTCCGGCGCCACGTCAGGATCCTCTACCATCTTTTCGGATTCTGTTTGGGCCACCTGCTCTGCCACGCCGTCACCCTGGTTGTTGCCATCGACGTGCTCGTCTTCAGCAACGTTTGCGGTGTTCGTCACAGATTGAGTTGCGGTTTGGTCCTCCAGCACGGAACTTTGCGCTCTGTCAATCTCGACGTTGGCGTCCGCACTCTGATCTTGTGGAACGCTTGCAGTGACCATTGCAGGTATGGTTGTGGTCTGGTCATCCAGCACGGAGCTTTCCGTAGCTGCTTTTTGGCCATCGCCAGCTGCTTCTTCTGCAACCACATCCTCAGAGTTTACAACAGGGATGTCATCCTTAGGATTCTCTGATTCAGCTTCCGGCTGCAACTCGGCAGCTTCATCCTGAACTGATTCGACTTCCGGGGGATCCTGAACAGATTCCCCTACCAGAGGAGCTTCAGCTGCTGGTGCCTCTGAAGCAGCACTGTCAGTTTCTGGTGCGCTCTCCATGCTGGGAACCGCCGGTGCTTGATCACTGGCCAAGGTGTCGTCGGCCAGTCCATCCGTCTCCATATCATCCAGAGCGTGAAGGAACTGATTCAAGCCATTGCTTGGCTCCGCGTCCGTGTCAGGTGCAGTCGGCTGTACGTCCAACACTTCGTCGGACTCCATGCCAGTGTCAGGTTCCTGCCCAAACCAACAGGCAGCCACAAAGAGTGGCAGACTGTTTCAGAAGCCTTTCTGACGCTGACAAAGTAGGTACCCCATAGGTGCCATGAACAGCAATGCCTACTTTTCAGTGCAACCCCCTCTCCAAAAACCAATTGGCAGGCATTCCTCATTGCTTCTAATCCGACATGAGTTTTGACCCTTCATCCTGTACGGCCCTTCAACAGCCAGCACTTTGTTCAGCAAAAGTCATCCCAGAAAGAATGCGTTGTATGCTTCGAACTAAGCCGTCATCAGACAGAGAGAAGAAACAACTACATACAACCAGCCAGCTCAGCTTGTGATCGAAACCCTCGAACAGGGTTGGCTTCCACGTCCTTTGGCTGGGCGCTTTCGTTGCTTGTCTCACGCTCCCCGATGAGCCTCGACATGGATAATGAATGCCAAGACCGAGCAGATGAAAATAAACCCTATATCAACAAGACAAAAGCAAGAACCACAAGAACCACCACCACCACCACCAACAACACCACCACCACCACCACCACCACCACCACCACCACCACCACCGATGACGCTCTTGATGGCCTTTCGATCTCCCATCCTCTTCTGCCGAACCTAGGCAAGGTGGTTTCAGCGGGGCTGACACCAAAAGCTTTGCATAGCTTTGCTATTGCTGCGCGCATGATTCTGATTCTGCTTCCTTGAGAGGAAACTGCTTGCACAAACTAACTCGATGTTAATTCAGAATGGCTTTCCCCAGTCAAGAGTCAGGGAGATAGAAAAGTGCAGGCCTCAACATGCCCAAAAAAATGCTAAGCACGCACAAGAGGTACAAGAGAGTATAGTATATTAGTATAGTACTCATTATAGAAACCTAGAAAACCTTATCCCTCTTTTGGAGAATCTCCACGCATTCTCCTCCTGAGCTTGGTACTGGCCGTCATCATCGGAGAAGGTGCCCAGCAGGCGCTGAAGCAGGGTTTAGGGTTTAGGATTTAGGGTCTGAGTTTAGGGCTTAAGGTTTCAAGGTTTAGGGTTTAGGGTTTAAAGTGTGGGATTCAAGGTTTATGGCGTGCGAGGCTTGAGGCTCAGGGTTTGCAAGGTTTCCTTCAAGGTCCGGCGCAGGACCAGCCCCGCACAGCCACTCACCACGAGCTGCTGTGAGCGCTGATGATTCTGATTCTGGAGCCCTAGGCCCTCCATTTCCCCCACCCCAATGATGGCAGTAGACGAGGGTCAAGAAAAAGGATTACGACCCCCTGTTTTAGCTTTACTTGCGGGAAGGGTAGAAAACTGCTCCACATGCTGGGGCATCTGCGACCATGTCAAACACGCCACTCAAGTCAGGGGAGAAGCCATATTTCGGAATGACCATTGTCTGTACCTGGGAGCAACGCTATGAAAAGAAGACGGAATATTGAAGTTGATGCCAAGACGGCCACCGAGAGAACAAGCTTCCTCCTTTCCACGTAGAACGTGGCACCGCCGTCGGGGAATTTTGCCTGTACACATCAGCCGGAGATTTCGGGGAAATCTGGGTAGATTGTCGGAGCAGGACCGAACCTCATGCTGGGCCACCTTACGTACCCGCCAAGTTTATCCAAATTGAAAATGCAAGTTACCAGAGGTACAAGCCTGACCAAAACAAACAGCCTGAGGCATGTGCATACTATTGCAAGGAAAACTTAGCAACCTTAGTGTTCACGGAAAAGCGTACTGAAAATTCAGAGGCGGGCTCGTCCCTACGACAGATGCAGGCTGGACCCCTATTCAGGCACCATAATGATCTTATGAGCGGTAATAGTAATAATTCTCTTAATAATAATAAAAATTAGAATAGCTCCCAAATCGGACCCTACGACCTCAGAATCTTCTGAGGTGATGCTTGTTTTTTCTTGGGGGGCCCTTGCGCTTGCTTTCTGACAACCGGCACGGGAAGTACCTGTAATTGCAGCTACTCTTGTTCCCATGGAAATTCTTACCATCGGCCTCAACAGCCAAGTCCCATTTTCATGACCGCAAGCCACAGATCCTAGATCGCAAATCCTGAACCTTAAATTGCTTGAACCTTATACCATAAATCCTAAACCTTCAACCCCTACACCCTTAGCCATGAACCCTCATGCTTGCTAACGACGCGCCTGGCCTGAAGCTCCCGGAAGCGCCCCTGGAAGTCCTCGGACTGAAACCTGCAGAAAGAAGAGCTATTATGCTGAGGTTCTATAGGGATAATGGAAAACAAATGGAAACTACTACATTATAATAGTGGAAAATTCTCCAAGGCGCTCCCTCAAAGTGCATATTTTTTCATTTTCCGGTACTAGTTTTACTTTTCAGGTATAATCCTTCCGAAGCAGACGCACGGAGATGAAGATGGTAGTCGTCAACACTAAGCCCAGGTGACCCTGGGGGGGGTCCACGGCAAAGAGTCGTGGCTTGCAGGTCTGCCGGCTCGTCAGATGGTCACAAAATAAGTGTTTCTAAACCGTCTCTTTTCCCGGACGTGTGTACTTCTGGGTGCTGTGCGCCCAAAAGCGCGTTCGATTTGGAAACACACTCTTGGAGCGCCAGACTGATGATAGAAACAATCATGAGGATGCAGCTTGCAGACATCTTTGCCCCAACCGATTTCAGAAATGCTGCCACAAAACTGCAGAGAACACCAACCAAAATCACAACCACGAGAAGCGTGCGCGTGTCAACATGCAGCATACGACCCCAAAGCCCTGATTGATGGCTAGAGCACCTGCGTTTGAGCTATAACCTGCATAGCACTGCGTGACGGTGTGGATTCCCGAAAGACAGAGAACTTTGCGACACCAGGCAGCTTCCCAACTTAGGGGTATTCTCAGGGTTTCCAAAGGGGTCCTTCGGATCTCTGGCATCAGAAAGGTAGCAATAAGTCCCGGGCCCTTCGAGCAGCGCAGTCTGGAGTTCGACTGCTTGCTCCCTAGGCTTGAGACTTCTTGGGGTGCAGCACTTTGGAGTTTGTGGGTTGAAGATTCACCCCGGCTTTGGATTCAGGGTCTAAGCTTGGGCTTCAGGGTCCAGGCCTGACATCAAGGGACATGCAAAATTACAACATGCTGATGATGTTGCCATCAACTGGTTGAAGCTTTCTTGGAAGCACGGCAATGTAGCACCACTTCGATACTGGCATACTAGCAGCAAGCGGGAATGGAACCACGACAAGAAGTACTGTAGTCTTACTGCAGGCTACGGCACTACTGGCTATCATTTTCATGTAAGCCAGCGAATGGTGATGCAACAGTAAGATAGTCCATCTGAGCGGTCAGGATGGGGCTGGCATAAGGGTAACTTCCCAGATTGCCTTCTTAGTATCCCAACAGGCTAGGTGCTGTACTACGTCTGGTACTTCACTGGGTTGCTGTTGAGGAACTGAAATTAATTTGCCGTGGTAAGGAAACACTATCATTTGCTATCTATATATATATATATACATGTTCCCCCATATTACGCTAACTTAAACTACTTACTGGTTCTTAGTAGGGGATAAGGGAATGTAATGCCTAAAGACTAAGCCCCAGTAAGTTATAGGTTTATCTCTGCCTTTTATCCCTGTATATCCCTATAGCCCCTTGGAAAGGATCCCTACTGATACCCTGTTTGCGAAACCTCCCCGCATCCTCGGGGGCCCTGCGGATCGTCTCGGTAATTAACAGGGCTTCAGTATTATAATCAACCATAAATTCTATACCCCTAAACCCTAAACCCCTAAACCCTAAACCTCTAAATCTTAAACCCCCAAACCCTAAAGCCTAAGTTTTAAACCCTAAACCTCTAGACCCCTAAACCTCTAGACCCCTAAACCCTACACCCTTTACCGGCAACCCAGTTTAAGTACCGCACCTGGTGAGCTGAACCTTGGCGCTGCCATTCACCTGGAGCGACTTTGAATCACAGAAGGTGCGCTTACCACGCTGTGGAATGGAGGATTTAGGGTTGAGGATTTAGGGTTTTAGGGTTTAGGGTGTAGATTTTACGGTTTTAGGGTTTAGGGCTTCAGGGTTTAGGGTTTTAGGGTTTAGGGTTTTCCCAAAATTAGGGGTACTGTTAAAGGGGTCTTGTAGGGGTTATATAGGAAGGGTGAGGGTTTCCCAAAATTAGGGGTACCTTTTGGGGGTCCCCCTAACAAGGATTCTAGCCTACTGGGTTCTATAGTGGGGTTCCCCCAATCAGGGAATCTACCATTCAGGGTAAAAGGACTGAACGTAAGCACCAACGTAGGAGAGTACATGCAAATTTCGTTGGGGACAGTGCAAAGGCTCACCCCCACGTTCCCCTTATGAACCAGTAAGCCTACTACTAATCTGCCTTAGAATATCAACGTCCTGCTAGTTATTATGACTGCACTACATGCATGATACCTTCTGTGATTCTTAGTGCCAGTGTCACTCGATCTTGGGGGACTCGTATAGGGTGAGGTCAGTATCCAAGCTATACAAGGACGCGGATGCCTGGTGGTTGATCTTGGATGGCAGATCAGCACCTGAACTTCAGTCTCCACAGGGGGTGCAGGATTTTCTGTCGGTGTTAAGAATCTCATTAGCTTCTGGGGCCATCTTGGCCATTCTTGCTCTCCCGAGTTTTCTGCCAAAATGTCTGGGGCCGGCCTGACCTACGCTACATGCCCAAAAGTATACTTTGTACAGCATGAATCATATCTGGGAATTTCTGAAAAAACGGTCCGTATAGGGTGATTGGGATTTCTAAAGGCTTCCTGTTTTGAGAAACCTTATATGATATCTGGTTCAAGCACTGCCTGCAGGATCCCCATTAACTTGTCATACTCCAACATTTCTCCATGCACAATCCCCATGTGGGGTGCTCCGAGCATTAGGACATGGTGGTGCCCTATTAGGAGCGATTAGGAGCCCCCACAATAAGGGCCAGAGTGACTAAGGTTTTTTAGGGCTTTGGGTTTAGGGTTTGACTAGATTTCTAGCTTAATGGCACGTATCTCCTGCACTCGCTAAACTCCACTCGCGTATACTGGACCAGCAAGCAGGAAACTTTCTAGGGGGCTGGCCGAGGAAAAGCACGCGGCGCTTGCTCCCGAGCTTCTCATCATCCTCGGCAAACATGCGTTAATGTATGGGCTGCACTCCTGTGACTCAAAGCAAGGTACGCCATAATTTCTCGGAGTTATTTTGTATAGGGTCATACAGGGCTTTGTCCATTTACCGAAAAAAATGGCGGCAAAGACCTGCAACGAGGCACGGCGTGGCGATGCAATAATGCAAGACTTCAATAGCGGCAGTACAAGGCAAGATGGTGCCAGAATACCATCAGATAGACGCCCCCTTACCATGGAAAATAGCTTGTTTCCATATTGATTCCCGAGGTCATGACACGGAAGGAAGTGAAGGCACCTCCCCGTCGAGCTTCTACCTGATGCCATGCACTGGACAGCTGCAAAATCTCAGAAGAGTGATAGTAAAGCTAAGTTCCATCCTGTTAGAAGTTATCACCCTTGTCTAGGTACCAAGCTTCTCCACGCGTTCGCAACTCTATCATACAAATGTTGTGCGCATATCGTCGGTTGCAGATCAAGATGGCAGAATAGGAACACCCCTTCTCTTCTCTCCCACTATACTGAATTCCTTCATACAGGTACCCTCACCCTAGGACTCATACTGTTGAGAAAAGCGTGCAAGGGCTCCCGACCAATCGGCCAGTTCGTCTTACCGCCTCGCTTCCGACCTCGGTCAACTTGGCCGATGTCATTGCAATTCTCTACATGGGTTTAGGGTTTAGGGTTTAGGGGTTGTTGTCAAAATTGTGGTCCCTTTTGGGTACCCTAAATATTAGGTGCCGTATTATAAATACGGACCCAAAAAGGGACCATGATTTTGACAGCCACCCACATGGAGGAGAGTCTTCTTTGTAAGGGCTGGTATACAGGTGTCCATATTGGGACCCCCTCCTTATGAAAACTACCACATGGGTAGCAGTTGTCAAAATGAGAACCAATTTGCAAATCCTGGGTAACACTCTGCACAATCCATTTGCTTTAAGCGACACAAGGTGATCTACCAGCTCAAGTTAGTTTTGCAGAGTCTTTTTTTGCTCGCTAAAGCAGGAGTCTGTGAACATGTCCGTCAACGACGGATCCTAGGTCCTAGGGTTCCTCGTCAGGGCAGACCCCTTCAGGATCAAGCCACTCTAATCTCAACTCAAAAGCCTCGCGGTCAAGGTGAAATCACACTGGTGTGCCATCATTGCAGGGTCCCACTGATCAAGAATCCGGCTTCAAGACGTATTTGGACCTAGACTGGGAACAAAGAACAGACAAATGGACCCTTGGATTTAAAAATCAGGCTCCAAACTTGCGGCTGGAGACCTGCAGGAAGCTGACCTAACTTCTTGTGAAGCTTTTGTGTCTCCTTCTTCCTCTTCTCTGAAACCCCTCTCTTCCTACAAAGACTCTCATCCAAGAAACAGAGTTTAACTTGGCTAGCCAATGCTGTTGTTCTGTCCCCTACACTATCCTGGCTGTTGCGAACAAACCACCGAGGCACCACCACCACCACCACCACCACCACCACCACCACCACCACCACCACCACCACCGCCAATACTACTACCACTGCCACTACGACTACCGCTACCGCTACCACCAGTCGTCTGCTGTAGTACTCCGATACTACAGCAACCACCATCATCATCAGCACCATCATGTCTCCAACCCTAACACCTTGGGTGCTTGGAGCCTGTGGCCAGTCCAGCCTGAACCCTTCCAAGCACAGAGCATCAGCTGGACTGAATTCAGAGCTGTGTGGCTCGGGAAAACAAGTGTAAATCATGGGTCCCTCCGCCCACTCCCTTGAGAGACACCCCAGGGAGAAGTAATCGAGACCTGCTCGCTCGCTACGAGTTGACACCCCAAGCAGCAGGGGACCCATGAAATGGCAGGTACGCAAACGGGAACTCTAAACCGCTCCAACCCACATTGGACGGGTGATCTTGCCTGAAATGCCAAGACGGGCACCAGAGTCTGATCTCAGCCTTCTTCCCCTTGATGGCTGCCAGCTGTATGCCCATTGCCCTCACATGAGGCCCTCAAGACGTAGATCCAACATGGGGCTTCTCTGTAGAGGGGACCCCTTGTCGTTGGAGATTGAAGCTTCTTGCCCAGCTTTGCTACAGACTCTTTGGTGCTTCTCAGCAACTCCCGCTGGTCCACTGCGAGCTTGCGCAACTATCTTTTTGGTTGCTCTATTACTGGGAATTTTACAGGGGCGACTAAAGACATTGACTCCTCACTTCCTCACTAACAATCTGCAAGCTATGTAGAAGAGGACAGCTTTACATGGCTGTAAGGTCTACATGCAACACCCTTAAGATTTCGGAGTGGCTCTTCTTGCACAAGCTGCAGAGATTGTCCCCGCATAGGAGGGTTCCAGCGGGCTCAAAGCTGAGCCAACTTGATCCGGTAGACAAGGTAACTAAATGGTCGAATCACTATTTAGCGATGCACTGCACAGGGCAGTGCCTCCAAGGGCTGCCAGGGGATGAGCGCCATCCCGCTTGGCCAATTGAAACGCAGATTTTGCAGATTTTTTGTTTCACTAAGGCAAAAGGGCAGGCACTCCACAGACTAGTCGAGCACTGACGTCTTGGCCCTGCTCAAGGTGTGCGCTCGCGTTTTGGAAAGTTGCCTGCAAGAAGCGATGCGTGCTCCCCCATGGTCAGTGACTTGTTGGTGCTCACGGGCAGTGTAAGTGTAAACTTGGGTACCATTTGCAGAAGACTAGCTGGGGGAAGAAGCAATATGCATGACGGGACTCACCGCCCACTCCCCTCAAGTACCGGTAATAATCGTAATAATCACAAGAGTAGCATTAATAATAATAGCCTAATGATAGTAACAATTATGATATGATAACAATACTTATAACAGTAGTGATAATAGTAATAGATTGTTAAAACCCGTCTAAGACCAATAAGGTTACCGCCACTGCTTTGATGCTTCAAGCCAGCCTGGGCTTGACAAGAAGAGTGCAGTCGCTCTCCTCCAGCCTGACACAGCTGGTACTTGTAGTTAAGGGTTTCTGATTTAAGGTTTAGGTCTAAGGTTTAGGGTGGAGGGCTCAAGGAGGGGTGAGGAAGCCTGTCCCTTTAATTATTTCCACAAAGTTTTATTAACACACCGAATGGTAATCAACAAATATCACAATTTGTACTTGGGAGCAGCGCGGACAACAGCTAGATCACAACAAGCGAGCCGTTTCTTGGTGCATGTTGATCGATTTTAGCCCCGGTGGCCCTTCAGAACCTAATAATATACTCGCTTCCATGCCGTCAGTCCCTGCTAAACAGAGGTAAAGCACCCTAGCCCTCATAAGCCACCAGACAATCCCAACTCTCTGTTCGACTCTGTTCCATTCTCTTCTCCATGAGTCTCCGTTGTTACAATAGAATCCCTAAATATGCCCATATACTCCCTGCGTCATCCCCTTACTTGCGTCTTACCCGGCCGCTGTGCAGGCACAACCACTTGAGCAACACTCGATCAGCATGCGCAGAAAACACTGTCCGTCTTGCTGCTGTGATCTAGCCTCCCCCGAATTGTAGATCCCCCCATGCATGGTTCTTTTTTGAATGAGCCACCTTCAGATGAATGTCTGTGCATGCCTTTCGGTCAGGATGTTGCAGGCTTGCATTGAAAGACTGGCATGCCGAGGTTCAAGCGCTCTCAGAGTAGCCTCCTGGAAGGCATAGGGGACAGCATGGGTAAACCCACACGCTGGTTTCTTCTGGCAAGCACAACGGACGGTATTGCTACTACACCTGCTAGACCTACACGTTCATCGCTAGAACCGGAGCAAGACCTCGAGCAGGCTTTCGTGTTGTCGACAGCTTGCCCAGAAGAAACATCTGTAAAGTCGCTGACCCTCTCCCCTCAACTCGAAGTCTGCGAATCTACAGCTGCTTCCTCCGAGCAAGCAGTCAACAGCACGAAAGCGTGCCAACAATAACAGCTGCGTCCTCAGAGCAACATGAAACCTTGCCAAAAAAATCCGAGTTCTGCTCCGGTCTTCCAAAATCGGCGTGTCGGTCTAGAAGCAACACTGTCTGGTGCGCTTGCCAGGAGAAATCGGCGTGTGGGTTTACCAATGCTGTCCGCTATGCCTGCCTGCAAAATCATGACCGAATACCTGGCTCATTCAGAGAAGAACCGGATCGTCAGAAATGGGGGGTCCACAGCCATCTTGTCCTTTAGGCGTCAGGGTGCCTGCTCTATCGGACACTTCGGGCTCCCCGCCGGCGCGCACTTTCAAGTCAACGATATATCGAGCAAGTGGTCCCAAAGTTGTCCATAGCCCAGGAGACCATATTGGTAAAAAGAAACTCTGGCAAGCTCCAAAGAGCTAGCTTTCTTGATAATAGTGGCCCCTAAACACCAAACTTGTGGTGCTTGCAGCTCGGGCACTGCATCAGCAAGGTCCCTTTTCGCGTTCCTGGACCAACCTGGGATAGATTTAGGGGCCCCAATTCTTCTTGCTTCACAGAGAATGCACAAGGGTTATGGTCCACAATAAGTACAAACCATTCCAATCAAAATCCTGGCAGCAATCTTGCCGTGGAGGTTCTTGGACTCATCGTGCTCGTCAACTTTCAAGGCCTGGGGTCATATGGGGGTTCTCAGACGAGGTGAGATTATAGGGGACGATACTGGTCCTTCTTTGGGATCTTATGGGGACTGTTTAGAGAAACTTCCACATGCAAACGACAGTGCTTAGAAGAATGCCTTCAACGCATGGAGTTTCTGAAAGCTGCGGTCCACATTAATGCTTGACAGGAAAGCCTTGCTACACAGGAATCGAGCAAGGGGCACAACAGTCAGCATCAATCTTGCCTAGCTGAGGCAAGCACACGGTTTGACATGCAGAGGTTTAGCTTCACCCGCTCGCCGGCCTCAAAATTGTGCAACCTGAGGCAGCTGACAGCGGGGATTGTGCTGAAGCGGCTCATATTAATCTGCTTACCCACAAAAATGGAGAATCAAATGGAAAATAATATGAAAGCTCAGGTTGCATTAGCACCATACAGCGCTCCCATTGGCGATGGTTCTAGTCAAGAGAACTGGATGGGTAGTAGGTTCAGGGATTCTTGGGTTCAGTTTTATCTTCCACGGAGCTAGACTTGCTAAAAGAATCCATGACTTACTGGTGGTTAGTCGGGAATAAAGGAATGTAATATATGGGGACTATACAGGGATCATGAAAGGATTATGAAGGGATTCTATTCCCTTATCCCTACAACCCCTATATAACCCTATATATATCCTAGTATAATACAGTAGTTTCGATTTTCTTTTCCATTATCCCTAGATAACCCCTATATTACCCCGGTGAGATGAATGCCGACCCTGGCACGGATCTTTCTTCTTGCCGGCATCCTGTGGAACCTGTCAGTTTTCAGGAATGCGGATGAGGGTCTCCAAGCAGGGGACCCTGCGTTATACTTAGTGCCCTAAGCTCTAAACCCTAAACCGTATACTCTAAACTCTAATGCCTACACTACACTTTACACCCCACCCATGTACTTGCATCAGTCTTGTCAGCAGTAGGCAAACGGAGCACCAGATTGGCTCTCCCACTTTGCAGCCAAGCTGCAAAGTCCGACGGAAGCAGGGCTTCCTGGGACTTTAGCCTGGAAGCACGCAGACGGCCGTCATAGATTCGGGTCTTAAGGCT